GTGCTTATAGTTATCCGTTAAAGGAAAGCTATCAATCATTTATTTTTATTGTTTAAAGTAAATATTACATTCAGTGTAGTCTTTGTGTATTTTCAATGTGTGTGCATGTGTATATATAAATATTCAGGAAATTGTTTGGTTTACTCTAGCTTAACCCCTTAAGGACACATGACATGTGTGACATGTCATGATTCCATTTTATTCCAGAAGTTTGGTCCTTAAGGGGTTAAGGACTGAGCCAAATGTACACGTTGTGATCAAAACAAAATGTAAACAAAACCTGGAATTTGAGATATGTCTGTTCAGGTGTAATTCACCTCTTTAATATTATGTGCACCCACACTTATTGAATATATTATATCATTTTATTCCGGGGAAACAGGGCTTTCATTTAACATCAAATACTTTGGTATGAAAAATAATTTAATATGAATAAAATATAAAAAATGGGAGAAAAGAAGAATTTCTTTTTTTTTGTTTTTTTGTTGTTTTTTTTTTTTAATGTAGTTCTACGTGACATTTTAACTGTAAATGTCATAATACTGTTTTTACTGCAATAAAATACATTTGTATTCAGCGATGTCTCACGTGTAAAACAGCACCCCCTATGTACAGGTTTTATGGGGTTTTAAGAAGTTACAGGGTCAAATATATAGCATGTTATATTTTTCATTTTTTTTCACATTTGACAGATTAATTATGTTGCCTTTGAGACCGTATGGTAGCCCAGGAATGAGAATTACCCCCATGATGGCATACCATTTGCAATAGTAGACAACCCAAGGTATTGCAAATGGGGTATGTACAGTCTTTTTTAGTAGCCACTTGGTCACAAACTCTGTCCAAAGTTTGTGTTCATATTTGTGTGTGAAAAATGCAAAAAACTAATTTGAAAGACAATTTTGGCCAATGTTAACCCACGCCGTTCCTCTAGGACAAATAGAGCTGTAATAAGCAAATTGTGTAGAGCTTAGCACTACTCTTTTCCTTCTATGCTCTATATAATCCTCAGAACCCCTTAAGGTCTCCAGTAGGACAGTAGATCATTACTGCAGGTGTTCTTTCCTTAAAGAAGCTGAGACTACTTAATTTTGATGACAGATCTGCTTTAAAAAAAAAAAAATCTGCATTATTTAACCAATTTTACGTGTTTAGAAGAACACTATTTCGTTAGGAATGCAAACATCTGTTACCAACGCAATAGTGTTTTCCTACCTATTTATGTGTGTGTGATAAACCCTGTTTATCCTAAACAAAATGAGATATATATATATATATATATATATATATATATATATATATATATATATATATATATTAAGTGTGAGTGCACTTAATATGGAAGATGTTAAGTATGATGGACAGACATATAGCTCAAATTCTAGGGTTTGTTTTGATCAGAACCTGTACTATTTCCTCCGTCCTTAACCCCTTAAGGACCGAGGACGGTTCAGGACCGTCATCGGCATTTTTGCATTGCCGACCGATGACGGTCCTGAACCGTCCTAACGGTCAGAGCCACTTACCTGATCGCCGTCGTTCCCCCGGCGGCGATCAGCGTGGCTCCGGTTGTGGGGAGACTGCCTGCAGCCCAGACAGTCTCCCCACGGCAGATTAGGACCCCTGTGGCCATGTGATCGCTCAACAGAGTGATCACATGGTCACAATAGGTGTCCTAGTGTCTGCCTGCAGGGGGACTGTCTGTGCTGACAGGCAGTCTCCCTGCTACTGTAAAATAAAAAAATAAAAAATAAAGTTAGTGTTAAGAAAAAAAAAAAATTATATATGTGTATATATGATATATAGACATATATTATATCTATATAATATATGTCTATATATCATATATATATAATGTTATACTAAGTGTATTTTTATATTAATATGTACTTATATTAATATAAAAATACACTTATAATTAAATTACACACGTATATATATAATATATATAATAACTATATATATTGTATATATATATTATTATAAAATATAAATAATAAGTAATTTAAATTAAATACATTTTTTTAAAAATAATAATAAAAAATTTAAAAAAAATTATATAGCTATATGAAATTTTATTCTAACTGTATTTTAAAATTAATATATATATATTTATATCAAAATACACTTAAAATGAATTTGTATATATATCTATGTATATAAAAATAAATAAAAATAATAAGAAATATACATACGCCCATATACAAAATTACATAAATAATTATATAAATATACACGTAGACTTCAAATATATAAATATGCATATATATTTAAATTCTACGTGCGTATTTATGTAATATTTTTACATAATTAAGTAATTTTATTGATTGCAATTTGAGGGACCTGCCTGCCAACCCAGGCCGAAAGTCCAGAGAATTTAATTTGTTAGCACTGTATTTTACCCTGTAACGTTCTACGACACCCTAAAACCTGTACATGGGGGGTACTGTTTTACTCGGGAGACTTCGCTGAACACAAATATTAGTGATTCAAAACAGTAAAACATATCACAGCGATGATATTGTCAGTGAAAGTTACTTTTTTTGCATTTTTCACACACAAACAGCAGTTTTACTGATGATATAATTGTTGTGATATGTTTTCCAGTTTTTAAACACTAATATTTGTGTTCAGCGATGTCTCCCGAGTAAAACAGTACCCCCCATGTACAGGTTTTATAGCATTTTTGAAAGTTACAAGGTCAAATATATGGGTCAAATATTTTACATTGAAAATGGCCAGGTTGGTTACGTTGCCTTTGAGAGCTTATGGTAGCCCAGGAATGAGAATTACCCCCATGATGGCATACCATTTGCAAAAGAAGACAACCCAAGGTATTGCAAATGGGGTATGTCCAGTCTTTTTTAGTAACCACTTGGTCACAAACACTGGCCAAAATTAGCGTTCAATTTCGTTTTTTTACTTTTTTCACACACAAACAAATATGAATGCTTACTTTGGCCAGTGTTTTCGACTAAGTGGCTACTAAAAAAGACTGGACATACCCCATATTGAATACCCTGGGTTGTCTACTTTAAAAAAAATATGTACATGTGGGGTGTTATTCAGAGATTTATGACAGATAATAGTGTTACAATGTCACTATTGATAAATTTTAAAAATGTATGTTTTGAAACCGCAATATCCTACTTGTACCTATAGCCCTATAACATGCAAAAAAAAGCAAAAAAGCACGTAAACACTAGGTATTTTTAAACTCAGGACAAAATTTGGAATCTATTTAGCAGTTTTTTTCATTCGCTTTTGTAGATGAGTAAAAGATTTTTCAAGTAAAAGTCAAAAAACATGTATTTTTTCAATTTTTCATCAGATTTTTTATTTTTTTTAAATTAAAATACATGAGATTATATAAATAATGGTATGTAAAGAAAGCCCCTTTTGTCCTGAAAAAAACAATATATAATTTGTATGGGAACAGTAAATGAGAAAGCGGAAAATTACAGCCAAACACAAACACCACAAAAGTGTAAAAATATGCCTGGTCGCAAATGTACAACATCGCAAAAACAGTCCAGTCCTTAAGGGGTTAAAGGATTAAGCTATAACGGCAAATAAGGGAGTAACTATATCCTTTATCATAAAGATACATTAACTACTTTAGTAAGTGTTGCATTTTTAATTACTTTCTATACATATTCTTACTGTCTACCACATGTGTAGATTTAGTTTACACTTTAAATATGTTTTTGTGAACAATTGTATAATCTTTATTGCATTTAAACTAGGTGAGGGTGGGATACTTTCAGGCTGGAGTATGTCATGAAAATTATACTTCACATAAATTACTTAGTGGTCCACTTAAATCACAAAGTATGTCTGTTTCTCATATTAGATTCATGCACAATCTGAGTTTTTTTTGTTATTATATTATCATTATTATTTTTTTTTTTTTTTTGCAGGCCTCCTAACCCTATAGAATACCTGGCAGCTTATCTGTTAAAAAACAAGACACAGTTTGAGGACCGAAATTAAAACACGATACACAGATCTGGATTCCTGCAGTTTACAGCCATAGCCAATAGACTATACCAACAATTCCATATATTGTTTTGAACTTGTGCAAAATTTTAAGGTTTTCATTGTTGCATATTAGCTTAATTTCAGTTTTGCAGTGCGCTTTCGGAACTATCTTTGTATGAAGTGACCTTAACATAAATAAAACTGTTTAGATACACTGCAATTTGGAAATGTTCAGTATTTCATTAAAGGCTGTAAATTATTAACTCTGATTTAATTTGAATCCCTATGGTTGAAATAGGGATTTTAAAATTATACCGTGTGTATCCTTTTAATGTTAAAAACAACCAAAACTGAGTTATTGACATGTTTGCAGCAAATTCCCTTCAGTGACATCCTCTCAACTTAGGAATCCTCATTTTCCTGACATAGGGTGGCAATACATAGGGTACAATAGGGATGTACTCTTCCTCAGGACAAGCATCTGAAATTAAAATTTACATGAAAGTTCCTCCCCCAACAGGTATAAGACACCAACCTTGCAATGGGCCCTCAGTTCTCTTTCTTGTTCCATCAGGAACAGACTGTGTCTGGAATGTTTTTGGTGAGGCACATGGGTTGCTGCCAGAGGGATCCGGCTTTATAGAGAGCTAAGTGGCCTGTCTGCATCCTGTGGAGTTACGGAGCATCTATGTCACCGGCGCAAAGGGATTTGCTGCCGCTAGAGGAGGTCTCTAGCGGCAGCAAACCACTGCCCGAGCGAGACACGTGCACATAGGTGGAACGCACGCCCGGGAGGTGATGTGTTCCATCAGAGTTCTGATCGCGCTACTGCGCTTTCACGGTCGGAATTCCCGGAAATTGGCGCTTTAATTTGAAGACTTCCTATTTAAGCTGTGCAGATTTTACTGACCGCATGGATGCTAGCCAGGAAGGATCTCCTGTGTCAACAGCCCCCCCACATGGCTTCGAGGTGATATTTTTTTCAGCCTCAAATCTTTAAAATCTGTTAATTTTATTTGGCTTAATTTTAAACTATCTTGTATTGTCTTTGTGTTGCAGATATGTCTAGTCATGTCGCTCCAGATATTATTGATAAAGACAAATTGACTGCTCCAATGCCTAAAAAAGCTAATTATAAATCAAAACATCCACACCACTACCAAATGTTACAAAAAGAAAGATTTGCAATCAGTGTTCATCCTTAACGCTGGAAAAGTCCAAGCAACAGGACATGAAATCATTTTTATCTTGGTTTCAAGACAATCTGGCCCAAACATTTGATTCATTCAAAGAATCTGCTAAGTCAAATGTTACAACACTCGTTAAAGCACCAGTTAAACATAGGCAAAAAAGGAAGAGATCTTCATATAGATCAGAGCTGTCTTCGGGGGAATGTTCTAGGTCTTCCTATTCGGAGAGGTCTAGCGATTCTTCTATAACGGAAATTGGTTTCCCGCATGAAGAACTAATAAAAATTTATTAAGAAAGTAAATGTTGCCTTCTCTGAAGAGGTATCAGAAAAATCAAGTAGAAAAGCCCTACTAGTTCAACAGCAGATTCTGGAGCTTCTTTACAGGGAGTGGGAAAAACCCTGAAATATGGCATTTATTTCCAGGCATTTCAAGAGCATTTTTAAGATATAAGGAGAAGACAAGTGGGAAGACTTACCATTCGTTGATGTACAGGTTGCTCAGTTGTCTAAGAAGACTACTATACCAATTGAAAATTCTCTAAACTTAAAGACCCTATGGATAAAAGGGCTGAAACATCTAGTAGATGAGCATATCAAGCAGTGGGGTTTCCGACTAAAGCAGCATTGGCAGGAGCTTCAGTGGCTTAAGCTCAGTACTATTGGATTCAAGGTTTGGAAGATTGCCTGACTGAACACCAAGACAAGGATCTTTCACACCTATTCCGCAATCTAAGACTATGCAATGAATACCTGCTAGATGTTATCACGGAAGTGATTAAGCTATCTGCTCGTGTCATGGGCTTGACCTCTGTGGCCTAAAGCCTGGACGGCTGATACAGCCTTGAATTAATCTGACAAATGTAGGAAACCAAGAAGGCTCTTCCTCAGGAAAGGAAGTATTCCTGGAAGCCCAGAAACAAAAACTTCCAGTACAAGAACTGCAGAGGGTATCAAGAAAAACACAGGTCTTTTCGTCAACAAAGAAAAGATCCAAGGTTTAACGCACATAAGGACATCAAAACTGACAGAGCAAAATATTCTGACGCCATACGAGTAGGAGGACGGATACAACAATTTGCTCACAGATGGAGAGAGACAACTGCAAATCTGTGGATTTTGAATCTGGTTGCAAAAGATACAAGATAAAATTCTTAGTTGTACCAAGACCAGATTTCCTTATCTCCTCCTACCGTTCAAAGCTAAAAAAAAAAAAACTCTTCTCCACTACCGTTACTCTTTTAAAGAAAGGTGTTATCGAAAGCGTCTACTCTCGGTTGTTCCTGGTGCCAAAGCCAGATATGTCCTTTCGCCCCATTCTGAATCTGAAAGAATTAAACGACAAGATTCCATATCCATGCCATTTCAGAATGGAAACCATCGCTTCAGTCACACCCTTTAAAAAGGGGATTTTTATGGCAACATTGGATTTGAAAGATGCCTACCTACACATACCTATGGATGTAGGCTCAAGAAAGTACCTACGACTTGCCATAAGATATGGTTGCAAAGTTCATCACTTTCAATTCAAAGCCCTTTCGTTCGGTCTTGCCTCAGCACCAAGGATATTCACAAAGGTTCTAACACTTCTCACAACGCTCTTAAGGGAACAAGGAATCTGTTAATCCCTTCTTGGACGACTGATACATAAAGGCAGAGTCAAGAGACGCTGTAACAGCAGATGTGTCTTACACCCGCACAATCCTAGAAGAACATAGTTGGGTCATAAACCTAGAAAAATCTCACCTACATCCTACAAAGTCCATACAGTTTCTAGGGTTCTTAATTAAGTCAGAACCGAAGAGCTATGCAGGTGTTGGGACACCTCACTTCCACTATCCCAGCAGTAAAATGAGCCAGTGCAGAATCAAGGCTTTTGCAGTGGGATATTCTTACAAAGTTGTCCAAGAAAGAGGACGACTTGGATACTTTGATAAAGATTTCAGATCCTGTAAAAATACAACTGAATAGATGGAAAAAGACCAGTTTCCTATTACATAGTTACATAGCTGAAAAGAGACTTGCGTCCATCAAGTTCAGCCTACCTCACATTTGTTTTTTGCTGTTGATCCAAAAGAAGGCAAAAAAAACCAGTTTGAAGCACAATTTTGCAACAAGTTAGGAAAAAAATTCCTTCTTGACCCCAGAATGGCAGTCAGATTTATCCTTGGATCAAGCAGTTATTACCCTACATTGAAAGATTATATCCTTGAATATTCTGTTTTTGCAAGTATGCATCTAGTAGCTGTTTGAACATCTGTATGGACTCTGATAAAACCACTTCTTCAGCCAGAGAATTCCACATCCTGATTGTTCTTACAGTAAAAAAACTTTTCCTTTGCCTTAGACAAAATCTTCTTTCTTCCAGTCTAAACGCATGACCTCGTGTCCTATGTAAAGTCCGGTTTGTGAATAGATTTCCACACAATGGTTTGTATTGGCCCCTAATATATTTGTATAATGTTATTATATCCCCTCTCAGGCGACGTTTTTCTAAACTAAATAGGTTTAAATTTGTTAACCTTTCTTCATAGCCGATATGTTCCATTCCTTTTATTAATTTTGTAGCCCGCCTCTGCACTTTTTCTAGTGCCATAATATCCTTCTTTAGAACAGGTGCCCAAAATTGCACAGCATATTCAATATGGGTCTTACCAGTGATTTATAAAGAGGCAAAATTATATTCTTGTCCCGAGAATGAATGCCCTTTTTCATACATGACAATACCTTACTGGCCTTGGCCACTGCTGATTGACATTGCACATTGTTGCATAGTTTGTTGTCTATAACAATTCCCAAGTCCTTTTCATGTGTTGTTATCCCTAATTCGCTTCCATTAAGGGTATACGTTGCTTGTGTATTCTTTACGCCGAAGTGCATAACTTTGCATTTTTCAACATTAAATTTCATCTGCCATTTGAGTGCCCAGTCCCCCAGTCTATCTAAATCTCTCTGCACCAAAGTAATATCTTGCTCACATTGTATTGTTTTACAAAGTTTGGTGTCATCTGCAAACACTGAAACATGACTTTCAATGCGGTCTTCAAGATCATTTATAAACATGTTAAATAGAAGGGGTCCCAGAACAGACCCCTGAGGGACACCACTTGCCACCTCTGTCCAGCTTGAAAATTTACCATTAATGACAACTCCTTGTACTCTGTTTTTAAGCCAATGTTCTACCCAAGAACAAGCATTTTCATCTAGACCGATTTCCTTGAGTTTGAACACTAATCTATTGTGTGGAACTGTATCAAATGCCTTTGCAAAATCCAAATAGATCACATCCACGGCAACACCCTGATCTATACTTCTACTTACTTCTTCGTAGAACGCAATCAAGTTAGTTTGACATGACCTGTGCTTCATAAAACCATGCTGATTTTGCTGATAACCATGTTCTTCTCAAGGAATTCTTGAATATTATCCCTTAATAACCTTTCAAATATTTTCCCAGCCACAGAAGTTAAGCTCACAGGTCTATAATTTCCAGGCAAGGATTTTGAACCCTTTTTGAATATAGGAACCACATCTGCCTTCCTCCAATCCTCCGGAACACTTCCTGAAAGAAAAGAATCTTGAAAGATTAAAAACAGAGGTTCACTTATTTCTGCACTTAGTTCCTTAAGTACACGTGGATGGATACCGTCAGGCCCTGGAGCTTTGTTTATATTAACTTTCTTTAGTTGCTGCAGCACCTTGTCTTGAGTTAACCAATTACAATTATTCTGCAAGTTTTTAGTAGCAATCATTTGCACATCTATTGCCATGGGTTCTTCCTTAATATATACGGAGAAGAAATAGTTATTTAAAATTCCTGCCTTTTCCTGGTCTTCATTAATTAACACCCCCGTTTCAGTTTTTAGTGTACCTACACTTTCATTTTGTTTTGTTTTTAGAATTTATGTACTTAAAAAATGCTTTCGACCAAAAGAATGGATCACAATCACCACACACGCTTCAAACATCTGCAGTATCATTTGAGGCAAGGGACGTGGTCCGCGGAAGAAAGAAGGGAATCAAATTACAAGGAGTTAACTGTTTTGTATGCTCTTTACCAGTTCAAACCTCTCATTGTGGGGAAAGCAGTAAAAATACACAACCAAGCTACCGTTGCCTACCTGAACAAATAAGGAGATACAAGGATAAGAAAGTTGCACATTCTTTGCACACAAATTATGTCATGGGCTCAAAGTCATCTTGAAGAAATTTTCTACCCATTTAAGAGGGATAGACAACATCATTGCAGACGACTTAAGCAGATCAAGATGGTCCCAGAGCGAATGGTCTCTGAATACGGTCATTTTTTATCAGCTGGTGAAATTATTCGGTCTACCTGTCCTAGATCTCATGGCGAGAAGGTCGAACCCAAAGGTACAAGTACTTGTCTCCCTCTTCAAGGCAGACTGGTTCTGGATGGTCTTTCAATCAAGTGGAACTTCGCATACATATTTCCCCCAGTGAGCCTAATTCACGAATTTTGCAGAAAATAAAAACAGAACAGGCAATTGTACTAGTCATAATTCCGTAATGGCCAAACCGGAGCTGGTTGTCGGTTTTGAAGACAATGGTTTTAAAGTACTGGGAACTTCCAGTGTCAACAGAGTTCCTGGAGAACAAAGGGATTCCAATGGAAATATTGAAAATGTTCAAACTGACAGCTTGGCTGCTGCACAGCTAATCCTACAAAACAAGGGCATTAAGAAATAGACATTTAAGATTCTGCTTAATTCTACCACATCTACCTCTGCTATCTACTTGAAGAGTTGGATGAAATTCCTTCATTGGTGCATCTCTCATCATTGCCTAAGAACTTCTCCTTCAACAGATACCATTTTGCATTTTTTATAAGACTGCCTTCAAGCGGGTTTTAGTTTATCTACCCTTAAAATTCAGGTATCCGCTCTGAGCCATATTTTGGTAAAGAATTTGGCTTCTGATATTCTTGTTAGGAGACTTTTTAAAGCTGTCGTGCTCATCAGGCCTCCAAGAAAAGATGTTTTCCCTTCTTGGTACTTGTCTTTGGTGTTGAAGGCTCTTTGTTCCCAGCCTTTCGAACCTTTGGAGAAAACAAGTTAGATGTCGGAAGATCCCTTAAAATCTACTTAGATCACTTCTCTGCGTTTAGGAAGACTGACCATCTGTTTAATTTCTTTAGGTCATACAGCCTCTAAGTCTACTTTGGCTAGATGGCTTGTGGACACTATCAGGTTAGGCTATGCTTCTTCAAATTTGCTTTTACCTACCTTCTTGAAAGCTCACTCTACAAGAGCAATGGGCTCTTGGGCTGAAAAAGCTCACACTTCACCAGAAGATATCTGCAGAGCTGCTACATTGTCTTCATTTAACACCTTCGTAAAACATTACAGACTAAACGTATACTCTGTCTCTGACGCTGCTTTCGGGCATAAGGTGTTACAAGCAGTGGTTGAATAATTCTCGCCCATAGTTCTGGGATCTTGATATCACTAATGTATTGCCACCATATGTCAGGAAAAACTGCAATTTTACTTACCCTAAATTCCTCCCCCCCGCCCCCCTTAATTAATATATTTTATATATTTGCAGTATTAAGTCTCTGATGCTTTGTTGGGACGTACTGAGGGTCCATGGCAAGGTTGGTGTCTTATACCTGTTGGGGGAGTAACTTTTGTGTTAATTTTAATTTGCTTTGTTTTCAATAGGATAATTGTTGTATGTGTGTCACCTATACATGCTCAGTAATTCCTCATTCTAAAGAGGTTTTTTTTTTTTCTTTGCAACATACAGCTACATAACAAGAGGATATAGTCTTAAAGGGACACTCCAGGCACCCAGACCACTTCTGCCCATTGGAGTGGTCTGGGTGCCAACTCCCACCACCCTTAACCCTGTAAGTGTAATTATTGCAGTTTTTATAAACCTCAATAATTACCTTGCAGGGTTAAGTCCTCCTCTAGTGGCTGCCTATCAAACAGCCACTAGAGGGACTTCAGTGTTCTTAGAACACGAAAAGTGTTTTAAACAATGCCGGATGTCTTCACGCTATGAGGGCAACCGGCTGGGGGATTGTGCAGGCAGGGGTCATGCTGGGTGGAATTATGGAGAAGGGTGGCATGCTGGGTGGTCGTGAAAGCGGGCGGCGAGGGAGCTGTGATGTCCTTGTTCTGCTTCTTCACGCGCCACCAGCCCCGGTCTCATTATACGGCACACGGGGGAGCAGAGCAAGGACATCACAGCTCCTTTGCTGCCCGCCTCCACAACCACCCAGCACGCCACCCTTCTCCATAATCCCCCAGCTTGCTGCCAGGCACCTGCCCACCTTGGAGGTAAGGGGCTCGCATATCCCAGGCACCAAGACAAAATTCCCAGGTGCCATGGTGACCTGGCCCCTGGGGTTTGTCGAGCCCTGTGTTGTGCATTACACAGACTGCAATAAAGGAAATGTAAACATTAGATTTCACTTCGTTCAGCTAAATCTGTTTTGGTGACTAGTGTCCCTTTAAGCAGAGAGATCTAAGCCGCAGAGTTATCTTCAAATACTGCCTTTGTACTGTATATTCTTTGGATTTATTATAGGAATTATAAGACTTCAAAAGGCAAAGACAATGCTTTTTCCATGGAACCCTTTGACATAGTGTATCAACATCGTGGATGTGAGTCAAAATGTGTGTATCTGTGTGTGCGTATGTATCTGAAACACTCATACACATACACACACTCGGATGCACACAATGACACATACAGAGTTTGACTCACAGATACACACATTGACACATACAGTGTCATATACACACACAGACATACAAATTGGCACACACACACAAAATGACATAGATCAGAGCCGCCTTATTGTTAACTTACCTTGTAGTCCTGGTTATGTTGGCTGAGGCTAATGGGAATGAGCTGTTGCATGCTCACTCCAGCCTCTCTTCTGCCAGCTATGCTGCTCACTCTCTGGGCGGCCGTCTCCTGCCTCCTCCCTACTGCACAGCAGCAACTCACTGAAGCGGTGAGGAAGTGCTATCACTTCCTCCCTGCAGACAGATACTACAGGGGCCCGGTCGTGCTCTGAAAGGGCCGTGGCACCTGACTGGGTCCCTCATTTGCGATAAAATCTCGGCAGCCATTTTGTTTGGGGAAATCTCAGTGGAACCCCATTTGTGTTCTTGCGGAACCCCAATTGGGAAACTCTGCTCTAAGGCATTAGTGAAAGCTGAAAGACACAGTTTGTCCCCGTGGGCCTGGGTTTTGAAGGATTAAATATGTTTTCAAATGATCAGTGGCAGTACTCTGGGTTTCTGGGTTTTGCTCTCAACTTTTTTCTGGTATGACAGGTAGCTTATATACTTCCCAGTTCTTAAGCATGTCCGGGTGATGTTGCATTCTATTTCAGATCGCGATGCACAAAGTGTTTTTGGTGCTTAGCTCCAAAATTTTAATTTTCAGGAGCGTGTAAAAGCGGTATTGAAACCCAGCTACAAATTGTGGCAGCAGGTTGCTTGATCAGAATGCTGTCTCCCAGCACACAGACTTATTAAGGTATAAATGTCTTTACTTTTATATTCTTAATATGTGTTGTCCTTATGGAATTTTTTAATTTTTTTTCCTTTCAGTATGTACAATCCTCCAAAAGTCTAGAAGGCAAATCGGTATCCAAAACTAAACCTTTATACGGCTCCTCCTGTAATCTACCTTTACCTGCTGGTTTCAAGAAAAAGATGTGTAATTCATGTTCCAAAGAAGCAATGGATGAATATAAAATAGCTGAAATTTCATAATTCTTTAGTTGGTTTCAATCTTAGATATTCAATGTGCTGCTTTACAGTCTGTACAAGACCCTTTTCTAGATGAAGAATCGTCAGGTTTTTTTCAGAAGAAAACTTACCTAAATTAGAAAAAAGTATCCTGTTTTATGGAAGATCAGGAAGTTCTGAAAAGAAGCATACAAGCAAACCTTTTTCCTTCTAATTTTTTAAAATGGCATGGCCAGGGACTGGTATTTCCCTTCAAAATGTCTATTTATTACTAAACATTTCAAAACAATCTTCTCATTAAAAGAAGACAAAGTGCCAATAGCTCAATTGTGTATTACAAAAAAACAAAACTTTACCTATAGGTGATGAAGTGAGTTCTAAAGATGTTATTGATAAGAAAGTGGAAACCAGTTTAAGAATTTTGTTTGTTTTTTGGGGTTGTTTTCTGCAGGAGTGACTCAAAGTAAAGCTATAATTATTGGTGGGGTATTGTTACCAGCGGCAAGGGAGCTGTGATGTCCCTGCTCTGCTTCATCACGCGCCGCTTAGTGAGGCTGGGGCCAGAACATGACGTAATTTCCCAGCCCTGGTCTCATTAAACGGCACACGGGGGAGCAGAGCAGGGACATCACAGCTCCCTCGTCACCAAGCATGCTGCTGGCCGCCTGTCCACCTTGAAGGTAAGGGGCTTGCATATCCCAAGAGCAAAGGCAAAATTCCCAGGCGCTTTGATGCCTGGGATTTGTTGAGCCCTGATGTATTCTGGTATGTTTTTTTAATGGAAACAAAAAAATTAAACAATCAAAAAAGAAAAGCAAGCCCAAGAACTTGAGCTATATGTTTGTTCAGCCTTAATTTGTCTTAATTTAACATTAACTCCACCAACACCTATATATATCATATTATTCAGGACAAATAGGGCTTTCGTTACACATCAAACATTTATATATGAAACATAATTTAAATGGATGGTATCTAAATAATTGAGATATTAAGAAATGTTATAATTTTCCAAGTTCCGCATGGCATTTTTTTACTGTAAAGTCAAAATACTGTAATAAAACACACATTTATATTTTTGTGATGTCCTACAGGTTCACTGATGCCCCCCCATGTGCAGGTGTTTTTGAAGGTTACAGTGTCAAATCTTGTGATGTCTCACAAGTAGAACAGTTTACCCCAAATTTAGTGTTCATATTGTTTTGGACTTTGTACACAAACATTGCACTTATACTTCAGGTCATTTTGGGGCAGGAAAAATACCATATCATACATTAAAACAGGTAACTGAAGTTTACTTAGGGGTAACCTGTGGTCAATCAACAAAAAAAAACTTATTTTACTGATCGTGAATTCCTTTTTCCTTAATATGGTGGCAGTACAATAGGGATGAACTCTTCCATAGGACAAGCATCTGAAATTAAAATTAACATGAAAGTTCCTCCCCCAACAGGTATAAGACCCCAGCTTGCTATGGACCCTCAGTACATCACAATAAAACAGCAGAGACTTAATACTGCAAAAATATGAAATGTATTAATAAAGGGGGGAGTGTTGCCACCATATTAAGGAAAAAGGAATTTAGGGTAAGTAAAATTGCAGTTTTTCCTGACATATGGTGGCCGTACAATA